GAGTGCCATAGTATAGGATTATTTTGAGAAGCACAATATGGGATATCTCTGCAAAGTAGCTGAACTATCATGAAGGCCTCCAAACTGGATGCAGTAGAATGCCCTGGGAAGAGGCTAGGCCTTGTCTGACTCCTGGACTCCATGGTTGGCTCTATAATTCACAGATCCTGGACAAATGCTCTGACCCTTCTAGGTAGGCATCAGTTTCCACTTGTGCAAAAAAGGATCATAAAGTAATCACATAAAGTCACTATGAGGATTAAAGTAAATACCGTATGTACAGTTCTTAGCATAGCGGCCAGCAGACAGTAAGTGCTCTGTGTTAGCTCTTCATTCCAATTCTTACCAAGAAGGCACGACCAGTGAGGACTGGAAATGTGGCAGATAAATCCTAGTCGGAGCTGTCTTTCCCCACACCCACCCCTCGCCCTCAAACTCAGCAATCTGAGGGCCTGTCTCTGCCATGTTGCACAAAATTATGTGTGTATAGCCAAGACTGGTAGAACTCTCCAACACATCTCTCAGGGATGTACCAGGCAAGCTCTCTAGAAATACAATCGGTTCCCGACTCCCAAGTCCCAAGTGAAGATGATTCAACATAGTAGAGATGACTGGGGTGAGTAAATGATCTCCATTCACCGCATCCATATTAAAATGAGCTTGCATTTCTTGTATATATACCTTCTGACAGCAAGAGAAAGCTGGATGTCAGAGGAAAGTTATTTGGAGATTAAGGGGTGGCCAGAGGAAAGCCAATAAATAGTTAACAGAGACAAGAAATAAAAAGAAAGATGTATATTCTAAAGAATTCATTAAGGTACATTATGGACCCAGCTCAAGTCACAAAAATGATCGAGGAAGACTTTTACTATGGAATAACCCAGAACATAGGAGCATTTGAAATGTAAGTAAAAGCACTTGGTCGAGTAAAAGGGAATATTTATATTCCAACAAAGAGGGCTAAAACTGAAGTAGAAGATATCTCAGAGAGATGTGGAAAGACTCAGTTGATGACAAGGGCTCTTTCTGGCACCCTCCTGGAAGCTCACACCCAGAAACTTTTGACTTTATTTTAACTTTTTAAATTGAGATATCATTTACATATAACATTAATTTCAGGTGTACAACATAACAAAACAACATTTGTCTATAGTGCAAAATGACCACCAGAATGAATGAGTCTGGTTAACATCTGTCACCACACACAGTTACAGTTATTTTTTTCTTGTGATGACAACTTTTAAGATCTACTTTCTTAGCCACTTTCAAATATGCGATACAGTATTATTAACTATAGTCACCATGTTGGACAGAAAATTTTGACTTAAAAAAAAAAAGCCAACTTAGAACATCGTCTTGAAATACCTTCCAGTGGTAGGATACGTTAGCTGAGAGGTTGAATTAAATACTAAATCAGTCTGGAAGCCGTCTGTGACCTACGTGCCTTATACAACAACTAGATTTTAATATCTAGAAAACAGAGACTATTTACCAAGGGCCAGGGTACTATGTAGAATCTGAATAATAACCTAAGAAAGCCACACACAAGAAAGTAGCCTTTCAATCATTCCCAACTTCTGGTAGTCAAGTGCAAAGTTCAACAAGCTGTGGACTAGACTTTTAATAAAGTACATTCCACAGAGGATTTGTTCCAGGACTCCTGAGGACACCAAAATCAGAGGATGAACAAGTTCCTTATATAAAACAGCATTGTATTTGCATGTAACCTAAAAGTACATTCTCCCACATATTTTATTCTATTTTTTTAATTTTTCTTTTTTTTTTTGCCGGGGAAGGTAATTAGGTTTATTTATTTATGATTATTATTTTTAAATAGTAGGTGCTGGTAATTGAACCCCGGACTTTGTGCATGCTAAGCACACACTCTATCACTGAGTTATGCCCTCCCCTCTCCCACAAATCATCTATAGATAACTTATAACAACCTAATACAATGTAAATGCCATTTAAACAGTAAATGTAATGTAAATGCTGTGTAAACAGCTGTGGAGCAAAGCAAATTTCAGTTTTGCCTTTTGGAACTTTCTGGAATTTTTTTTTAATATTTTCAATCCACGGTTAGTTGAATCCACAGAAGTGGAGCCTGCAGATAAGGAGAGCCAACAGTATGGCTCACAAAGGACACCTGAAACTGCTTCTTACTAGGCTGGTATGAAGGCCTGGAGGAAGCATGCTTATTTAATATGGAATATAAATTATTTCCACCTCTGAACGTATAGTACAATATGCAGCAAAGTGCAAGGCCTCTCTCTCTCTGCCCCAGGGATGCTCCCCAGCTGGGCCTGAATTCATGCTCAGAGATGATGCTGACTGTGGACCTGCTGTGTGGATCGCAGCCGCTACGTTTGCAGGCAGCAAACCAACTCGGGAGTGCCGTCCTCCGGTAGGAACTGTAACATATCATTTTCTTTTTCTTGATTCTCTGAATATATGAACAGGGAAGTAAAAGCAATAGAACCCACTTCAAACCGAAGGAGAAAACTCACTTCACCTGCTGGCATTTCCACCACATGTTAAGGTAGGCAGGTTACTTAACAATAATTATGACAATAATAATAGCTCTCAGTCATGGAGAACTATGCTGTGAGTTAAGCACTTTGCATACTTTACTGTTCAACATCAATTTCCTCATCTGTAAATGAAAGATAATAATGCACCTATTTTATGATGTCATTATGAGGATTAAAGAAGAGATGCAGAAAGCACTTTTCAAGTTGAGGCAGCAGGGCCGAAAAAGACAAGGTCTGAGAGAGACAGACATGGGTTAAGATTCCAGCTCCAATGTCTACTTGTTTGATCTCACTGAACTCCTGTTTCCTCATTTCCAAAGTGGAAATGAAGCGACCCACGTCGGTGAGGAACTGAAAGAGACAGTAAGTCAAACCCTAGCTGGTGTCTGCATTACCAGGAGGTTTCGATAAACATTTCCACCCTCTCTCCTATTATACATGGGAACTGCTTCTGTTAGCCTCCATCAGTAGTCATTCAACAGCTACAGTGTCCAAAGATGCATTTCTTCTCATGACAATGATAATTTTACTCATTTTAATAAGCCAGACACTGATTCAACAGCTCATTTAATCCTCACCACCATCCAGTGAAGTAGGTACTGTTATCCCCATTTTACAGATGAAGACACTGAGACACAGAGTTTAGGGAACTTGCCCAGATTCAAACAGATGGTACCAGAGCCACCAGCACGGCTCCCTAGACTGTCCTCCTAACTATGGTGCGACGCTGCGCGTGGTGGTCAACCTGTCTGAGCAGTTTCAGGTGTCCTTTTGTGCTCGGATGTGATGATCCCTTCCAAAGATGAGCAACAGATGCTCTCACCAACTACAATATGTTGACTAACTTTTCAATTTCTGAAATAACATTTTGTGTATTTTCTTAGAATTCTTAAAAAACTATGGTATGTTTTTAAATGAGTTGCCTATAACTAGATCATCTTGTTCCATGTGCTAGAATACCATAAATAAATGTGCTTCTTTTTCTACAGATTATCTAAATAAATCTTACAATTAAACACAGCTCTGAGTTTTGGTTTAAACATTTATTACAAGTCCAAATTTTTAAAAAGATATATTAAGGCCGTCTGAATGTTATGTTTTGTCGAACTAATGACTTCTACATCAAAAAATCTGCATGTTCTCCTTATTTCTAATATTCACTGTCTTAACATTCACAGGAATACCATATGGTATTTCAAAGTACTCGTTTTACAAATTTAATCAAGTCAAATATTAAACATCGATGATGATAATCTATTGCTCTGGTTAAAAGGAACCTCTAGGGGAAAGACAAGAGAGAAAGGTTAAAGAATTCTATCCTTCAAACTGGGACAGAGCAGCTACCTATAAATCATGCTCTTTGTTTATTAAGATAATTAAGCCCGTCAGTACACTTAACTTTCAGACTCAACAATTGTCTGGCGTGGACAATTTCCACTCTCTCTAAAACAAAGGGGATGTGTTCAAAGGGGTCCACTGCAAGCTCTCTGCACAATGCATGCTATTTTAAAACATGATTTATGTGTCTAATTCCTGGAGCTGCCTTGAAAAATATACTGGGTTTTTCCTCGCATGCTCCCTATTAGGAGAAGACACTCCAATTTGAAGAGTGCACTGTGTTTCAGACTACAGGGCGCTATATCATGTCAGCATTTTCATTAAACACGTTCAAGCTGGACCTTAAACAAATGGAATGGAAAGCCACAGCTGCAGCCTCTGCAGAGAGACACAGTTATCCTGCCGGGAGGCTTACATAAGAGGTGCAGGACAGTCAGGGTGAAACCCAAGTGTCATCATCTGAATCTTTGCTTTGAGACTGACCCACATTCTTAAAGTGTATTAAATAACATACACTGAGCGGATTTCTCATTTTATTTGCCTCATAGCACAGAACTCTGGGTTGACATATAAGTTGTGTTTTTTTCCCCTCAAGGACTGGGTTCCAATTACGAAAACGCTGGCAACTTCTGCCTAGGGGAAGAGTGAACTGGGATGCGCGGGAAGCCTGGAAGCCTGGAAGCCTGGGGCAGAATGACTGAGCTCCTATTCCGAAAGATCTGTCTCATCGAGGAATACTACTGGAATCGCTCCTCTGGTAACTTAGGATGGAAGTGACAAGACCCCGCCGGCGCGCGCACACACGTACACGCACACACACACACGCACACACACACACACAGTCAAGGGGCTCAGAATGTGCAATCAGCCAGCAGCAGGCGAAAAGCCCTCGCAGCACCTGTCCTCTCACAGCACATTTCCAACTGGCACGTTCGGCAGAGGCTGGAGCCAGCCCGCCCTGGACTGCTGCCTCTCCCCGCGTGCCCTGTCCGCGGCTTCGCACCTTGAACTCTCCAGGCTGGAGCCCTCCTAACCAGAGGTGCCACCCTCAGCTTCCCACGACGTGAGGGTAATAAACACGAACCTCCCCTTCCCACGGCGCCCTCCAACTTCAGAAACTAGTCAACTTACTGGGACGCAGGAGACAGGGAGCCTTCCGTGGGGACCGCGCTCTGGCTGCGCACAGCCCCGCTGGCCCCGCACTGCCCGGGCGACGGCGGGTGCGGGGCGAGGCGCTGCCGCGCTGCACCAGCCGCCTCGGCTCCGCGGTGCCCGGAGCCCGGCACCCGTCAGGGCGCACCGCGCGACGGCGGCAGCGGCAGCGGCGACGGAGGCTGCACCCGGCCGCACGGTCCCGAGCGCTGCAGCTGCCGCCCGCGCGGGGAGTGCGGCGCTCCCAGCCCCTGGTGCGTGTCTCCGGCTCTGAGGGAATCGCGACGCTACAGGAAGGCGGCCCGGGGAAAAGCCGAGGCGCTGCTGCAGGTAGAGCCGCCAGCCCGCTCCCAGGCGGCCGGTCACATCGCGGGCGCGACGGCGCACGAGCGGGAGGGTCGGCACCGCAATCGGCACTCGCCGCCGCGCCGGGGAGAATGACAAGCGCCGAGGTGGAGCAGCCGTGCTGGGCGCGGGGCGCGAGTGCGCATGAGCCCGGCCCGCTGCGGCACGTCACGGGAGAGGGCGGGGCGGGGCGGGACGGGGGGGGGCGAGCCGGGCGGGGGTGGGCCTGCGCGCAGGGCGGACCCGGGCGGGGCGCCCTGCTCCCTGAGGGGAAGGTACCGGAAGTCTCCCGCCTGGGGATTTGTGAACCTAGGGCTGTGCGGTTGAACTTGTTTGACTCCAGAGTCCATTGTCCTGTACAAACCACTATTTACTCTAAGCGATCTTTAGGGCGCTGGGCGAGCCCACAAAAGCCAATTTAGCTCAGGTTATAGTTTATCTGTGTAGGGCTGGGATTTAGGGGACAATGTACCCGGGCCGTACAATGAAATAACTCAGGGAGCTAGTAAGAGCCTTTTGCCCCTACCGCACCCCAGAATCCAGAATAGAAGTACAGGAGAATCTCTGGATGGGCCCCAGGTGCCATTAGGTTGTAAAGCTTCCCAGTTGATAGCTAAGTACAGCAGAGCTTCTCAAACCTTCAGCGTGTGACAGAATCTCCCGGGGATTTTGTTAACGTGCAGTTTCTGATTCAGTACGTTTGGGTTCATTTCTAACAAGCTCTCAGGTGGTGCCAGCCCTGCAGGTCCAGACCAGCCTATCTTTGCTACTCCAAGTGTGGTCCAGCGTCCCGAGCAGAGCTTACTAGTTGCGTAAGAATCACCTGAGTAGCTTTTTTAAAATTCAGAGCATATTCCCAGGCCTTATTCCCAGACGTTGTGGTTTAGCCGCTGGCAAAGGTGGGGCTCTGGAATGCCATTCCTAAGGAGCAATGTAGATGAGTATGATACAGGTGTTGTTTGAAGCAAACTTCGGGATATTAGACCAGCAACCAGAAGTTGGGAATAGACTTTTGCAGTGAGAAGCCAAGCCTGGTATAGAACCAGGACATCTGACTCCAAGTCCAGTTTGGAGTCCCACTGGTGCTTTATCTGACTGGTTCAAATTTTCTGCGATTATTATGCATTACTTTACTTAGTAGGAAATCCCATTAAACACACACAACACACAGTCTGTATTCCTTATATGTATCATTAAAGGAGGCTTAAAGCTGGCTTGGGAAGAAGGCTGATTAGGAGGGGAGGGTGGGAGAAGGGAGCAAAGTGATGGTGTAAGTGATGTTAAATGGTCCATTTCATAGTGCATCACAGACAGAAAGTTATATAGAAGACAAACTTCGGACTCTACCTAGATCCTGGAAAGGTGCCTTGGAGAAGATCCAGCGGCCAGGCTTGGGTGAAACTCAGGTGTTCCAGAGCTTAGGAATCTATGATACGTCATATACATTCCCTCACTGAAATCTCACAATGATCTCATAAATTGGATAAGAAAGATGTATGCTCATTTTACAGATTTTAAAAAAGGATGCTCTGGCTATTATTAGTTGACATGCTCGAACAGTGGAACTTGAACAAGGGTACAGATCTGAGTGTTGAACGCGACTTCTATAACTCTAAGGGAAACGATTCATATCTTACATAGGAAACGGTTTCTGTTTATTACTCACATCCTTTAAAGCTTGTGCCTCAATTTTGAGTTAGAAAAGCTTTTTTTTTTTTTTGGAGGGAAGAAATCCATTTTGTGTCTTCACCCCAGTTTTGCAGCTCCACAAATTGCAGTGCAAAACATTGTTTCAAGAGCATCCTAGTTCTAGGACATTAAGTCACATGGTGCAGCCTTGGCTGAGAGGTTCAAAGAGCAACACTCACATTTTTCTGGTGACAAGTGCAATTATCATCTTCATTTTCTCCAGGCCCAAAGAAGATAAGTGAATTAGACAAAATCCAGGCAAAAGCCAGTCTCAGGTCTCTGTCCTTTTCCTCTGCTCTCCTTTCACCAAATGACCTCCTGAAGATTGTTTTCCAATTCCAAATTTTTCATACCAAGATTTGCCATCAGTAAATTAGAACCCAAATGGTATTCCAAAGTCACTCCTTGACCACATGTCCATCAACAGATGACTGGATAAAGAGGATGTGGTATGTATATACAATGGAATACTACTCAGCCATAAAAAAGAATAAAGTAATGCTATTGGCAGCAACATGAATGGACCTGGAGATCATCATTCTAAGTGAAGTAAGCCAGAAGGAGAAAGAAAAATGCCACATGATTTCACTTATATGTGGACTCTAAAAAAAAAAAAAAAGAAAGAAAGACACAAATGAACTTACCTGAAAAACAGAAACAGACTCACAGAAGTAAAGAACAAACTTATGGTTACCAGAAGATAAAGGAGGTGGGAAGGGATAAATTAAGAATTTGAAAATTGCACCTCTTGGACAGTGATGGAAATGTTAGCTATCTTGATTGTGGCAGTGGTTTCACTGGTGTATGCATCTATCAAAATTCATCAAATTGTACATTTGAAATATATATAGTTTACTGTATAGGAACCATACCACAATAAAGGTGTTAAAAACAAAAACAAAAACAAAATCACTCCTTGATACAGAACCAGAAGTGTCAGGAACAATCCTTGTGCTTGTGGTAAGTGCTATGGATTATCCTGAGTAAAGCCTTGGAAGAAAGCATGTGATATTTATATGCAGTTTCCTGATCCAGAGGTTTGCCTTGGAATGCTGTATTGTAAACTGTGTCCTACCCATCTTTGTCTTAACTTCCAATATAATTCTTCCATTAGAGCTACTCTTCTGTGTGATTATGAAAAAATAAATAAGTTAATGCCTAATTAAATGCAAATTCTCTGTAAATGAGGGAATTGGTTGTGGAATTTTGTTAGTTCAGTTTTTAATAAGAGAATATTTTAAATTAAAAAAGAGTTAGTGTGTAAAAATAGTTTTTTTGTTGTTGCTATTTCAATTTTCAGTAGCAAATAAATGTGTATAGAGGATCTTATTAAAATTTGAGTACCTTTTGAAAAAAAAGAGCTTGCATTAATAGTCACATTGGGACTTTTAGGAAAGGAGTCCAAATTTGTCATCCTGTTTTCTTAGGTGTTAGAAACTCTAATCAAAATATTTATCTGTAGAGTAAATGAATTCATTTGCATATTAACTTTAAGAAAGCTAGGATTAAATTATATGAAAAGTTAACTAGTATGTCCCACTGCCATTGTATTTTGAGCCACTATCATTGGCATTAAATGCATGAAATGTGTAATATTGGCATAATACTAAGTGTGTCTTACTGTTGATTGTGTCTGATTTAGAATTTATTTCTCATTAGCTGCTGTTGTTGTCTGGCAGGAAAAAGAGCTACATTTTATTTTTCCTCTGAGGTTTGTACTCCTTGTGGGTCAGCAAAGTCTGCTGTTTGGCTGAGAATTTCTTCACTCAATGCCGCTAAAAATCCCAATAGTGAGGATTTCAATTATACAAATGCTAGCAACTCCATTGAGCCTATTCGTTGCTCATTCAAGAAGCTGTACCTAGAGTTGATTTTTATTAAACTCCTTCTGCTAAGAATCATAGACTTATCACTGGGCTGAGAGATTTTGGCCCCCAAATTCTCTGTATTTGTTAATTAAATTCCTTCATCCATTTCACTCCAAGAGATTCTTTGACACGGAAATCTTCCAGCCTCTGCATACTTCATAGTTATAGTCCAGATAAGAGAACTATAAAGAGTCTGGGTCACGGGCAAAGCTGAGACAAAAGTGGGAACATAGAATTAGATTTCACTAGGGAAAAATGAAGCTGCCGTAAAAATTTATACAAGTTGTGCTTGAGTTTTGGACATGGTTTATTACCAAGTTTGCCTAGTTTGAACACATGCAGCTGCTAGTAACTACCCTGGAAACCATAACTGAATCCCTGGTAGGATGTGGGGGTGGAGGTGGGAGTGGGGTTAGGGAGATTAGCATTCTGTCTTTTTTTTTCCCCCTGGGAAACTTTTGAAAACTATTGAAAAGCCCAGTTCTTTCCCTGAGACAGGAAAATTAAGAAGTGCCTGACTTTCAAATGTTTACTTCTCAACTGCTTGTTCTAAATACTTTGTTTAGAAGGTAGGGCAGTCAACATAACAAATGATCTGGATTTTCAGGCTAGCTTCAAAATGTTTCTTAAACCTACAAATATATATCGTTCACTGCAACTCCAAGGCTGAAAGAAAATGGGTGCCGGGTGAGGATTCTGACCTAATGGTAAGAGTGGGGTCTGGGGTTGAGGAAGATGGAATTTAGGGACCAAAGAGGAAGGCTGGCTATAGTCTTGGTGGCTAAGAAGCAGAGGCTGGCTCAGATTGGTTATCAGCAGCCTCTGAGATAAACTTAGGAAAAGAATGGGCCTGTGACCAAGAATAACAGTTGAAACTGTACCTGCAGCTTAGCGCTTGCATTTACTTAAATTTTGAGGGTTCCATGTTTGACTTAATCTATAGGAAAGAATGATCAGAAATTAATAGGTCATTAATCCCTTTTAAATAGGTAAATGCTTGAAAGAACTACTGCAGAAATGTACACTCAATTTTCACCTCTAAGAAATATCCACCTCTCCCTTCCAACCAAGTTGCACACTGATTGAAGGAGGAGACTGGTAGAGAGGCCGTGTGCATGGCTGGAACCACATGGGACTGTCTGGCTCCAGCTCCTAGCATCTCCATCTGCCGCTGTGATCACATGGCTGCCATCTTTGATTACACAACTTGGAGTAAGAATAGTTTTAAGTACATAGTAGGTTCCTAATAAATGCTAGATATTAGGGTTAGCTTTTTTTTTCTCTCCCAGAGTTAAAAATTATATCTAGATGTCCCCTAATGCCTATTTTAATGTAAGCAATGATTAACTGTAATTTGTAAAGGAGTGCTTTCCTTTCCTGCCGGAAGACTTAAGAATGACTTTCAGACTCCTCTGAGAATGGAGAAATCATGTAGAAAAGACTTTCAGGGAGATCAAGATAAAGCCTGCTAAGGTTCCTCTGTGGCCTTACGCCATACTGCAGAGGAAAAGGCAGGGCTTAGGACTTGACACTTCCAGATCGTTCTACTGGGAGAAAGAAATTATGGTGGGAAAAAAGACAGTACATACAAAAGTGAGACC